TCTTTTCTACCACCACTCGAACATTAAAGTATGTTATTATCATCTATGAAACCATTGTGATTTCAGGTAGTCTGCAGCTGATGAGAACCTGTGAAATAGAATGATATCATTTTATACTGCAAATTTCGTCTTCCTTTCTTTATCGAAATTTATCAAGGGAACAAAATGTATGAAACAAGATCAACTGATAATAAATTTAAAAAGAAATGAAAATAAAAAGACGTAAATTTATCTTAGTGCAAGAATCGTCTAAAATATTAAATGGTTAATGCGTGTTTTGTCAGTCTAAACCACAGAAACTGATGTGATTAAAACATTCACATTATTCAAGAATAAATTAACGAATCTTATTTGCAGCCTTTGATTCTCCGCCTTCTTCAAAGACGATTTTCTAAATTCGTACTTTGTCCTAAGGCGTTGTCCGCCTTCTCTGTTTGAGCGAACTATGTGAATACGAACAAACTGAAGATAAAGGTAAAGTAGAATCAAAGCTTTATGAAGAAGGACAAAAGTCAGTTCTTTGTAACATCCACTTGAGAAACGTGGTAATCAATTGAATGGGAATTAGTGTAAACACTAAGTGCTGAAAAACATTATTTAATAGCAATAATTTATTCTGAATAAAATGTCTATAAAAAAAAGACATTTTCAGAGTATTTTTACTTACTACTTATACAGAATTTTCAAGTGAAATCGCGTTCTGTTGTATATCCTTTGAAACATTTGGAAGAAACTACCAGTTTAAGAGATTAGTTAAGCTCAAGATCTAACAACAGGGCGTTGCATAAAATGTTTTAGATCCTGGGTGGTGATCAGATAGTTTGCGATAACCTACGCTTCGAATTCTGCATATTGTCCAGAATAAAGCTGCTGTTATCATCATGCAGTTAAGTGGGAGAATATTGTGCCTCAGTAGTGTTACTCCACTTTACTCTCGTTTCTGTTGCCAGTTTCATCTGGCTGCATAAATTTTAAATTCCAGTTATTTTCCATTAACAGCTTCTTTTACTGTTTCGAACAGGATCTTGTAGATTCCTTACGCTGGGTAGAGAGGGATCTGAGTCTGTTTGTCCTTCGTTTTTCGGTGTTGCATCCAATAGACTGAATTTTCGATTTCTTGAGATTACTAGGTGCTTTCATCAAGTGCGAGTAGAATATCACTTTCTTGTTCTTCGAGGCCATTTCATCCCACTTCACAAGAGCCCTTGATGCCGATGACAGCAATATCCACACTGTGCTCGTGATTGCCATCCGGATGACGGAAGTTGATTATTGGATCAGCATTTAACTTCAAAAATAGCCGGTTTCTTCTCCTCTTCTCTGTCTTATTATCTAATTTTCCTCTGCAATCTGAGCAGCCTAAACTGCTTCAAACACTCTGTGGACATCTCAAATCCACATAGTCAATTTTATTTTCGTCGAAAATGGGTAAACTACTTGCTTGATGTGATTTAAGCTAGAATTAGACGGCACACTCTAGAATTCAGTGTTCCAACCAATGGAAGTGCTTGGAATTTTCGCCACTAACGGTGACGTTTCACGTCAAGTAGATAGACTCATGTCCACCTTTCAGCCTTTTGCACACTTATGACAGGCGAATAAACGTGGTCCAAGAATGCGTGTCTGGGAGCTGCACTCAGGACTCCTCCGTGGTTGACAAGCATTCTACCACTGAACCAACAACACTCAAGGTTTTCATCTAATGTACGCCACTGGAATATGAATGAAATAGAGGAGCAGAAGTCTGAACAAAAGCAGATAGTTTTGAACGAGACGACAACAAAAGTCTAGTGATGTTCCACTCAAATACTGAGGTTATTTATATAGTCTAGCTCTCAAAAGTCCCGAAACACTACTCGATGAAGAACTGAAATACATAACACAGACATCTGAATTTTTCAAGAATTCTTCTGAATTTCGCATGATTACTATTTAAGAATGAAATCATGCAATGAGATCTGCCAATGAAAGGTAACTTCAAAATAGTTAAAAATGTTAGTTGAATATGCTAGAAAAGAATGTTTACAAGGAACAAGTGGGACAATCCAATCAAGAAACTGCTGTCGAATAAACATGCACAGAACACACTTTAAGGAGAACGTTGGGTGACATCGTACGCTAGACCGTCTAATATAACCCAAACAGTCGGCAACCGATGTGAAAACGAGGAGATCATAAGAGGAGGAGACAAGAGCCTGTGGTGTCAGTTCAGATTTTAATTAACTGTAACCCGATGGTTAGACAGGGTCAGTCTTTGCTGTTATCTTGATCACTCTGAATCTGAGAATACGTAGACTTCATTACTTTTAAACTGTGCGTCTCCCACGAGGTATCATAGATAATGTAGTGTATGAATTATCTGTCTAGCTCAAACACAAAATGCGTAAATCAGCCACTCATCGAAGTCACATATGTGAATATATATGCAGCTAACACCTGCCAAATCACTAGCTGCGTACTACATATTCAATCACAAAATCAATTAGGTTCAACACTCAGGCAAAATGTCTATGGCCTCCTTGATTCGAGGAAACCATTCTCTTCCATTTCACTTTGATCTAACAGATTCTGACATCATTCACTTCATCATCTCGTTATGTGACTTTCCAGTTCAACTGACTCATTACAAACGGATTTTCACTTATCAGTTCTTATAATAATATGAAGGTTGCAGATGCACGGTGATGAAAGTAGAATCCTGATATAAGTGAATAGCGAATCTATGAGTCTGCAAACAGACGCTTTAATGTAGAATTTGAATTCTGTATGTAGCCTATTTCTCGTTTGGTCCGTTTTTCAATTCAAAAATTAGAACAGAGATTATTTCTACACAAACATTAAAACTAGTTATTCTTGCTACACTCAGTTCTAATCACTTAGTTCGCCTTTCGATTGTCTACAACAGAATATTTCTTCTCATGTAATGTTCCATTTCTCACACTGTTCGTTGACTAGCATCTTTACTGGGAACCCTACGGAGTCACAGATTCGCATTGATGAGGAATTTCCAAGTACAGTGAAGCAACTACTTGGTGGCAGAGAGTGCTCAGTGGCTCTCCGATTGCCATAAATCCATCGTATTTTAATTCTTTTCTGTTTATCTGTTAAGAGTAGATCTCTTGAATTGCGAAGATTAACTAACAGATTAAACAATGGGCGGATCGCTTCAAAGGACTCTTGAAACAACCACCAACTACAACCCGTCCAGAAATACCAACAACAGCACGTACACAACTGCAAGTTGACACCAATCACACAACGAGAGCTGAAGTCTTGAATGCAATCAAGCTTCTGATAGCTGGAAAAGCAGCTGGACTAGAACGAATACTCCCTCAAGCACTAAAAGCGGACCCAGAGACTACGGCAGACATGCTGCCTCCATGATTGCAAAAGGTTTGGAAGGAGGGAAAAAGATGCCTACTGACAGGAGGAAAGGTTATCTCGTGAAACTACCAAGGAAGGCCGAATTAGGCCCCACTCTGCAAGAACTGGCGAGGAATCATGCTGAATCGCATCATCCTGGAAAGAATAAAGGAATCACTGGATACAGATCTCCTACCAGGACAAGTTGGATTCAGGAAAGGCAAATCATGTACTGACCAAATTGCAACTCTACTCATCATCATCGAACAAAGCGTGGAATGGCAATCAAACCTCTATCTCAACTTTATAGACTTTGAGAAGGCCTTTGAAAGTGTTGACTGCGAAGTAATTTGGAAACTACTCGAGTACTACGGCGTACTCCAAATATTCATCAACCTTATTCAACAGCTGTACGACAACGGAACATGTCAAGTGATCCACAGCGGAAAACTCAGCGAGACGTTTGCTGTAAACACTGGAGTCAGACAAGGGTGCTTACTATCACCAATGATATTCCAAACTGTGCCAGGACTGACTGGATTACGCATGAGGCAGTGGGAAACGAGAAGACAGGATTACCCTGGACCGACGTGAAGAACCTAGAAGACCTGGATTTCGTGGATGATTTATGTTTGATGTCACACACAATCGAAGACTTACTAGCGAAAACCGACAAACTGGTCGAAGAAGCAGCCGGCGAAGACAGGACTCCAGGTAAACATAGACAAGACGGAGGTTATGAAAATAACCAACCAACAACAGCAACAGCATCCAACGTCAATCGCCATCAACGGGAGGGATTTGAAAGAGGTTACTTCATTCACTTATCTGAGGAGCATTTCCTCAGCTAGAGGAGGAACGGACGAGGATGTGAAATTGAGAATTGGGAAGCCGAGAAACACATTCATCAACCTGAAACCAATCTGGAAATCTTCATCACTCAGCATCGACAACAAAATTCAGTCGGATTTTCAATACAAACGTAAAGTCAGTCAGTTCTCCAATACGGGTCAGAAACTTGACTAGTCACAAAGAATATTTCCAACAGCCAGTTGCAGACTCTTATCAACAACTGTCTTCACTCTCTACTGAAGATCCGATGGCCTGAAAGAGTCACCGACAAGAAAATATGGGAACAAACAAAACCAAAACCAATCGCCCAACAAATATGCAGGAGAAAGTGGATTGGATGGATTGGACACTTGCTGAGGAGGCCGCTGGGTGACATCGCGCGTCAGACCATTTCTCAAGTGGAACCTGAAAGAGAAGCGGCAAGTGAGAATTTTAAGGGTGACATGGAGGAGATCGCGTGAAGAGGAGTTGAAACAGTGTGGAATTACATGGATGCAGGTGAAAAACACAGTAGAAGACAGAAGCAAGTGGTGCTCCATGTTCCACTAGGAACCCAAGGGAACAATAATAATGATAATAAACTAACGTGCTTTGTGTTTTCCGACAGCTTTCTGAGACTTCATTCTTATGTGTCGCTTCATACAGTTTTACATGTAGTGTAGCTTCTAATTCAATCGACTACATTCAATATGTTCCATTGGTTGTTTATCTTATATCAAAGTCCATGTTTTAATTCATCGTATAAATTTGCCTTGGCTGATTTTTAAATATTCTGATATTCCTAAATAGAATCGCACATTTATTCTACAACTTCTGCAATCAATACAATTTCGACAATGACAACTTCATCAAACGAGGGTAAGTTTTAAGTTTTATGTTTGAATTTCATTGTAAACTTGAAGGTATATTCTGTCAAGTTTTATTTTCAGCCCTGATACTCTTAGTGTTTAGATGAGACTATTCATTATGATGACATACTTTCCAGGACCTTATCGATGAAGCTGTGAATAAACGCTTTCATGTGTAGTTTCAATTCTACATGTAGCCCTTTATCCTATTATTCCGCTTTCCATTCAAGAATTAGAACAGAGAACAGTTCGACCTATAAATCAAATTTAGTTATTCTTGCTACAGTCGCGTTCTATTCACTTAGTTCCTATTTCGATTGTCTACAGCGGAATATGTCTTTTAATATAATGTTCCATTTCTTGCATTGTTCATTGACTGACACCTTGACTGGGAACCCTCTGGAGTCATCTGGTAATTTGAAAATTATTGACTCTATATTCCCCAACTGAATAAAAGATTCCATTCAGAATTGGACACCCAGTGAAATATAAGAGGAATGCAGTTAGTCAGTGGTGGTCAATGCAAAGTATATCTGAAGGGAATTTTACACAATGAAGGAGTCGTAACATGCTCACCATAGGTATGGATGTTTTTGAAATCGAGATGTTGAAGCTATCATGAGAGAGAAGATAAGGCCGCCCTAAATTGTAACGCAACACTTATATTCGTCCCTCGAATTTTTTAAGCGTCTTAAGTTTTTTCGACTTATGGGATGAATTAATCTGAAATATCTGTCTCGAGTTTTCGGATTTCAGGACCCCAGACTAGAATGCTTTCACATATTCGGACATTATTTATCTTAACATATATATATATATATATGTACTAAGATTCTCCATATTGACTGATCAACTGGGTTTTACTTGAACATGGTTTGCGCCCCACTCAACACTGTAATGAATACTAATAATACTGTTTACTTTGGAACTGGCTATAATAGTTATACAACTCTAGTCAAAATAATGAGAATGAATTGAGTTGATGAATAGTGTATCGAAATCAAATTTCGTCTGCAAGAACTGATGCGTCCTATCAACCATGATGACTTATCGGAAATAGAATAATCACAATCACAAAAGATTGATTCATTTGTTATTTGTCAACACTATGCTGGTTCGTGCAATATCAATGTCGAGGAACACACACAGGTTCTGGTCTCTGAACAAGAATATGTCTCAATATATCTTCATATTTTAAATAGGTTCTGTGACACATACATACTTACCATGTGTCAATCAACATTTTGCATAATCTTTCATTTTATGTCGAGATTAAATAATGTCATTCTGAAGATTCTATTTGTGACTATGCATGAAATAATACGTAATTACAAGTTACTAAGCAACTCTCTCAACCATCTGACTTCAGATGTGAACATCTGTATTGAATAAGTTGACTTCGCTGTCCAAAAGATAATCTCGATAGTTTAGGAAAGGCCTACTGATACGGCGTAAATAAGAACAATAGTCATATCTAGTGATCTTTACTGTAATATGAAGAGTCTTCTGAACACTGAGCAAAACTTCAAGTACTTTTGGCTCAGGACTAGATAATGTGAAATCTTGTGTGATGCTCAAGAAATCGTCTGCAAGTATTCGAGATACCCAAATCACAATTGTCACCTGTGACCACAGTAAAATCAGAAAGTGCAAAGAAATCAAAGTGGAGTGTGTATCACGTCATGCTGTTCTGTCTTCCGAACACTATGATTGGTACATTTTCAGTACGTTTGGCACAAGACTCTGTAGTAGGAAAGATATAATGATGATGCAGAACTGGTCTTTAAGTATTTGAGATACTCGAATCAAATCTTTCGCCTGTGACAACAGAGAACTCAGTGTGTAAAGTGTATCACATCTTGCTGTTTTGCTCTCCAGTTTTGAAACTCAATAGTTCAAGTAGAAAAGTGTAGTAGCTTTGCCATTGCGTGCACGCTTCGGCATAATTAGTAAAATCGACATGAAAAATGAAATAAACGGATTCTCTGTATCCAACCATTTGGATGGAGCTGTATTTGTGAGTCACAAATTCTCCAGTAGTCCATTGCAAAGGGACCTAATTCATAGGGGCGCATCACTATCTTTAAATGAGCCTCTCATAATGTCATCTTCTTTTCTACTTGTTTAATTTATTATGAATCATCTGAAAATGTCATCAGTCAAAAATGAAAACCAAACCATCCTCCCATTTACCCCATCGGATGAACTGTCTTCAACTCAAGAATCTGTGAATTCACGAAGTAACACAGAAGTATGTTTCCCATCGTTTTTACTCATAACCAAATTATTCAAGCCTGTTTCTAATCAGTCTTCTGTTGAACGAAGGACCTGGGAGTTCATTTGGAAGGTATTTGTCTCATTTTTTAGAGGAGGTTCATTTGATTCATCTTTTTTCGCAGACTTTCATCATAGTGTCAGTACAGATTACAATTGTGTGGGAAATCTGCGCTCTTGTGTTACTTGTGTAAGTTGTGTATTTTTGACTAATCCTGTTAATCAAATGTTTTGAAGTTCGCAAATTTATGAATGGATGAAAGAAAATACTTGGTTTTCATGGACGTGTGGGTACGTGTAACACTTACTTTTTATCCATGCATCACCCCATCTGTTTTATATCTCATAATCAGGTGTATAGAAAACAGTAGAGCGGAGAGAAAGACAGTGAATAAGCCACTTGAGATTCAAAATTATTATATTATTGTATTATTATTGTATCCTTTAGTTCCTAGATGAACATAGGGCTTCAGCTGCGCACCTCCATTGACTTCGGTTTTTTGACAACTTTTTCACCCTGCTCCAGGTCTGCCCACATGCTTTCATCTCCTCTTCACATGACCTCCTCCAAGTCACCCTTGGACGACCAACTCGCCGCCTCCCTTTCGGGTTCCACTCGAGGGCTTGTCTAGTGATGTCACTTGTTGGTTTCCTCAGCGTATGGCCAATCCATCTCCATTTCTTTCTGCCTATTTGTTTAACAATCGGTTCCTGATTGGTTCGCTCCCAGAGATCCCTGTTGCTGATCTTTTCTGGCCATCTGATCTTGAGTATTGAGCGAAGACAGTTGTTAATGAAGGTCTGAAGTTTGTTTGAGATGCTCTTTATGACTCGCCAAGTCTCTGATCCGTATAGTAGCACTGACTTCACATTGGAGTTGAAAATCCGGATCTTATTTTTGATGCTGAATGCTGTTGACCTCCACACAGATTTGAGAGTAATGAAAGCTTGTCTTGCTTTTCCGATTCTGGCTTTGATGTCCTCGTCAGTTCCGCCTGTAGTTGAGACGATGCTTCCCAGGTAGGTGAAGGAGGTTGTTTCTTTCAGGTTCTTCCCATTTATGCTTATTGTGGTCAGTGGTTGCTGTTGATGTTGGCAAGGAATCTTCATCATCTCTGTTTTATCTATGTTCACGTGAAGTCCTATCTTTGATGCTTCTTCTGCCAATTTGTTACTTTTCATTTGCATATCTTCCAGTTTATGGGAAATCAGACATATATCATCGGCGAAATCCAGATCCTCCAAGTCTTTTGTGTCAGTCCATTTTATGCCTGTTCCCTCGTTGGTTGCCGTTGTCTGTCGCATTATCCAATCGATTGCAATCAGGAAGATCATTGGTGATAGTAGACAGCCTGGCCTCACTCCCGTCCTCACTTCGAAGGCTTCCGTAAGTTACCCGTTGTGGATTACTTGGCATGCAGCATTGTCGTATAACTGTTGGATGAGGTGTATAATTGTCGATGGACCCCCGTAGTAGCGAAGTAGTTTCCAAATGACCTCTCGATCGACGCTGTCGAAGGCCTTTTCAAAGTCGATGAAGTTGAGATAGAGAGGTGACTGCCATTCCAAGCTTTGTTCAATGATGATCCGTAGAGTGGCGATTTGATCAATACATGATTTGTTTCTCCTGAATCCAGCCTGTTCCGGACGAAGTTTTTCATCTAGGGCTTGTTTGATTCTCTCCAGGATGATGCGACTTAGTATCTTGCTTGGAATGGACAGAAGCATAATTCCACGCCAGTTTTTACATTGACTTAAGTCTCCTTTCTTTGGAAGTTTGAATAAGTAACTGTTCTTCCAATCCTCGGGTACTTTGCCCTCTTTCCACACCTTCTCCAGTAGTGGTGTCATCAAGTCCGCTGTTGTCTCTGGGTCTATTTTCAAAGCCTCTGCTGGGATTCCATCTGGTCCCGGTGTTTTCCCAGTTTTAAGCATCTTGATTGCATTCAGGACTTCCGATTTCGTCGGGGGGTCAGTGTTCACTGGTAGTTCTGCTTCCGTTGTTGGTATTGCTGGACGTGTTGTAGGTGGCGGACGATTTAGAAGTCTTTTGAAGTGTTCAACCCAGTGCTTTCTCTGTTCCACCTCTTTGGTGATTGACTTTCCATTGTCGTCCTTTATTGGCTTAATCTGTGTCGAACGTTTGCCCGAAAGGTTCCTAGTTGTTTGGTAGAGTGTGGCGAGGTCTCCTTTGCCTGCAGCTTGTTCTGCTTCGTTTGCCATGGTTTCATAATATTTTCTTTTGTCTTCCCTGGCACTTTTCTTCACTCTTTTGTTCAGTGTATTGTAGCTTGCATTCAGCTCCTGTTTTTGTTGCTCGTCCGAGCACTGGATAATCTTTTGCTTCACTGTCCTTCTCTCTTCTATTAGTTTCCAAGTGTCCGTAGTGAGCCACTGTTTGTCCTGTCTCTTTTTTCTGCCTAGAATTTCTATACAGGTTTGGCTCCACACCGTTTTCAAGTTGTTCCAGTGCTTTTCAACGCCGACCTCTTCGCTAGTGTTGATTTGTGTCTCGGCTTTGTCCTTTATGCTTGCAATGAAGATGTCCTTTGTAGCCTGGTCCTTCAGCTTTTGAGTGTTGAACTTGGCTTGTGGTCTATCTGCAGCTCCTCCTTCTTTGAAAGCTTTTAATTTGATTTGGATTGTCCCTTGTACGAGATAGTGGTCTGAGCCAACGTCTGCTCCTCTTCTTGCTTTTGTGTCCAGTAGGCTGCGCCTCCACTTCCTTGAGATTGAGATGAAGTCGATTTGGTTTTTGGTTTGCCCGTCTGGTGACACCCATGTAGCCTTGTGGATATCTTTGTGCTTGTATACACTGCCACCAATCACCAGTTCGTTGAAGGCGCAGAAGTCGGCGAAGAGTTCTCCGTTTTCATTCATTTCTCCTAGAGCTTCTCTACCCATGATGAGTTCCCTTCCCGTATTGTCTGGTCCCAGTTTGGCGTTCATGTCTCCCATTAGTATTTTCATGTCGCCAACTGGAGTATTGTCCATTGTTGCCTGTAGTTGCCTGTAGAATTCTTCTTTCTTCTCAAGGTCTGCGTTGTTTGTGGGTGCATAACATTGTATGATTGACACTTTCCTTCCTTTGGAGTTGAACCTGGCGGTCATTATCCTGGACGAAATCGCCTCCCATTGTATCAGGGCTTTCGTTGCCGTTGGTGACATCATGATAGCCACGCCCTCGGTGTGCGTGTGGTTGTCTTCTGGGTGACCGGAGTAGATCACTGACTCACCTGTTGACAATTTGGTGAGTCCACTCCCATTCCATCTGCTCTCACATATTCCCAGCACTTGTATTCCGTATCTTTTCATCTCGTTGGCGATCTGGGCAGCTTTTCCAGTCTCGTTCATTGTTCGGACGTTCCATGTTCCTACACAGACTTTTTCTTTAGGTGCAAAGAGGTTCATTTTGCTGAAGGTTCTGTAGCAACTTTGTTTACAGGGTGTGGTTGCTAGCCTCACGCCTGAGAAAAGAATGATTACATTAAGTAAAAGTTTAGAGAGAAGCAACTTTTTGGGTTGCTCCCCTCAAAATCAGAAAATAACGGACAAACAATGAGAACAACATCAACAAAGGAAACAGTTCACAGAAAAAAGGGCAAAAAGCGACGACAACTATAAAATAGGACAACATGTAATATAGTTCAGTACGTTTAACTAAAATGATATCTTAACCATAAACTCACTGACTTGGAGCAACTTGAACATATAAATCCAACAATATATACAATTATAGATGTGTTTATGTTTAAAAATTCCACAAATCCAAACAGTGAGTTATGTGTATTATCTGTCAATAAGATGGTATTTTTTGGATTCAGTGTTCAAAAGGTTAATAATTGTGATAATTTCCGCAAACACTTTGCATAAAATTTTAGAGTTATAAGAGATTTTATTTATGACCAAAATGTAGCGTAATAGTCGAAAAGCGCGCTCAAGATTCAAAATAGTGAGGTGGAATTCGGTTTCTGTTTGAGCCAGCTATCATAAACTTTGAAACCATCATTCCATATGAGGTAGACATGAAATCGATATTGATGGCAGACTAAGTGGGAAAGAAAAGAAGCACTCTAATACCTATCAATTACATGTGCAACTTAGTGTTTCATACCAACCAATAGTGTCTCACAAATCAAAAATTTAAGCCTTGACAACTGAACATGTTGTGTTATTATTTGAGATATGATCTTGCATGTGAAAGCGATAATTTATTCATGCATGTGTTACATATTTGTCGGAATAAATTGTTATTATTATCACAATTATCAATATCACACAGTTGCATTTGAAATGGCTGATTCAAGTGCAGTTCAAGCACTCTGGTAGCAATCTACATATTAAATCGATAAAGCTTTAGGAGATGTCAATCCCCAACTGCTCTTCCTCATTCTGTACAAATTCATCTTCAGAATCCCATTCTTTATAGCTTTCTTTAATTTTGTTTCTAACTATACAGAATTCTGGGAACAGTTCTACAACTTGCGATGCTACTGATACCGCAGTTACAGTTTGCCTTCCGCTTATATTATATCTACTTGATAATTGCTGTAAGGGGAGTGCGTTTCGCCACTCATTTTATGAAAGTACAGTATTAACAATAATATTTTCCTCTTATATATCAGATTGTTCCATGTTCTTATAAGGAATTGTTTCGCTTGTTGCCTTTCTTGTAACTCCACATAAAAATTACGCAATTTCTTTAAGTCAAGCACACAATGGATACGTTTTACACTAAAAGTAAGACAAAAGTCGTGTTATCCTCAAGAAGCCAATTCAGAGGTGAAAATTCTGACGCCTAGTTGTATCTAATTTCGGAATATGAAAGAAATTGCGATAAACTAGAGTTAAGATTCTCAACTGACTGGACCGACGAATGTTAAAAATATTGAAGCAACTGCGGTCGCTCTTGAAACGCTCACTCCATATTAGGAACACATCAGTGACTTATAAGAGTGGAAGAAGTTTATGTGATCAGGTTTCAACACACATCGTCGAAAGTAGAATTGAACCCATTGGCTGAAACCGATTTCCTTAATATTTTCACAGTAGAAGTGTGTTTAGTTTCCTGTAGTATCCTGCCTAAACCATTGTCATTGCAGTTTGAGTGGTTGAATCCAATCGATCATCTTTGGTATTGCAGAATGAATTGAAGATAGAAATGTAGAGGTGCATTCGACAACAACTAATTTATTTGAAACCTAAAGATAAGGAATTGTTTCTTCCTGCCGCCTAACACTTATTAACTGAGTTATTTTCGATTGACTGGATAAATGCTTTCTGGGAAAAAGAAAGAGATAC